GGAGTTGAAGTCCACTCATCTTAAAGTGGCCAAGTTTGGACAACACTGCTTTAAGGTGTCCTTTTTCAGTTGAAATATCTAGAGCTGTATTATAATATTATAACCATGGTTTTTCTTCTGATGTTGTACCTGAAATATTCTGGCTGTGCTGGCTGATATAAAAAGAATGATGGTTTGAAATTCATTCTGATTACCTAATCCTCTGACAGTTGTATCATTACTGAATGCAAACTGGAATTAAAACAAAAAGCCTATTTCTGGCCCATGTGATTGTAGAGAGAGAGAAAAAACTTGGCTGTTGTATGTTAAGTATTTGGTATTAACTGAACAAACTAGGGAAAATCTGGGCAATTGGTTTTCTTTCTTTTTTTTAAGAAGATAACTTAGAGCTCAAATGCACCTGGAAGTTCTGTTCCTTGTATTGCAGCTGGCTATGCCCTGTTTCTGGCATGCACAGCCTGAAGCCCCAGAGCTGAATTCAGCCCATCAAAACCAAGGGGTTGCTCCAGAACTCCTCTAGAAGTTACTGTTGAATTGTAATGTTTAATGGGAAAATGGCATAATACATAGGGGATTATTACATTCATTTAATTTTAATTAAAGTTGAAATTTAATTAAATTCTATTTAGTTTTTATCTTGGCCTTGCCTAACTTTGTATGTGGTGACCTGCATACTACTGAAAGGATAAGTACAGAAATTGTGCGATCCCAGCTTGCTTTGGTAAGGTTGAAGAAGTCTTTACAGAGGTTCAGGGGAAATGTCATTTATCCTTTCAAAGGGTAGAGCTTGGCAAAAGCAAATCCTAACATTCAGGAAAGGCAGTTCCTTCCTCCCCTACATACCTTCTGATGCCCTGTTTATCTCAAAGCTCCCCTCACCAGATCCTTTCGCTTTCGGAAGCCATGACAGATTTTGATAAACTCTTGAATTCTGTTTTTCTCATTAAGTGGCTGCATGATTCTGCTTAGTCTGCCAAACACACTCCCTCAGTGAGCCCACTGCCAGCTTTATGGCAGGTCACCCTTGCTCTTCAGCAAGCCACACTTTAACAGGGAATCCCTGCCAAGCATGTTGAGAAGCAATTCCTTTCCTTTGCTGCCACCAAGAGCTTGTACCATTTTATCTTTTTCTCCATCTCAGCTTGTGCTGTTCTGGCTGATTGCTGCTTTTCCCGGCAGCATCAAGTTTTAGGGTTTCTGGCTATTGTGCTAGAATTTGTGCAGCACTGTAAGGATCCATCTGGTTATATTTATGCCTTGCATGTATGAATCCTCATTTCTTCTCGGTAGCAGGAGATCCTTGGTGGCTGTTGTTTTTTGGAAGGAAAGACCCAGTTACTCCTAACTAGACCTAATGAATACCGTTATAGCCCCAAATTTTAGGGTTGAGTCAGACATGCCTAAGACACTCATTTTTGAGACAGAGGGCATGCTGCATATTAGGCTGACCAGTTGAGGTTAAAAATTAAATCACACAATACTGAGTCTGGAAGTTGGTAAGTTCCATGAATGCCTCACTGGTGTCCCAGCATGTCACACATGCATGCAAACACATTTGCCAATTTTTCTCTTTACTTTCTAAAACAACCTTCCCTAACCTGGTGTCTTTCAGGTTTGTTGCAATAAGTCTTGGGAATTCTGGGTGTTGCAGTTCAGTTGTATACAAAGGGTGGCATGTTAGGAAAGCCTGTTTTAGATACATACACAAGAATTTTAGCTGCTTCTAGATGTGAAATCCTTTCCATGCCAGTGACCTGTGTATGAACTTTTCCAGACAGTGATTAGGACTGGACATTGCTGCAAATAGCCTGCCTTTGCAAGAGATCTTTGTGCATATTGGCACACTGTGGAATGATGGGAAACCAAGCAAGCTTTGAGGATTCAAAGTCCCCTTGTGAAACAAAATTTAAAAAAAATCAAAACATGGCCTTCTTTTTAGAGAGAGACATCCTTTCCCAGTTGGGTCTATAGTAATGAATACACTTTTTATTCAGGTCTGCCAAAACCCATTCTTGTTATCTGTGGCGATGAGCAAAAGCTTTCACTCTGTTTCATTTTGCTTTTATGATGTTTCATGAACAGATTGAAACGTATTTTTTATATCTTTGGCATTTAATGCAAATATTTTATATATTTGCACATCTATTTTTGGATAAATCAAAATGAGTAATTAAGATAATGAAGCATGGAGAATATACAATTACATTTTAGGAGGCTTTGAAAAAAAAACTTCAAAGACTTCCTGTGGAGTCACTTGGGATTTTGCTTGTGATGAATGGCTTCATACAAATATATCCCATGGCTCCTAGGCCACTTGAGAAATGGGGGAAATCCATAATTAGCGTAGGTGCTATTTAAATGGCTTGGCAACACATGACAGTATTTCTGGGCATTTTCAGACCAGAACAGCTGAGCCTCTTTCTGTCCTTCCTGTAACTGTAGGGGGAGGAAAAGGAGGAAATGTGTGTCTTGGTCAGTTTTGAGGTGTGGTGCTTATCTAAAGGAGTGGTCTGGAGGAGTGACGTCAAGAGGCTCCACACCTTCATTGGCTATTCAGGATTCATAGGTTGCTCCATGCTTCATTCACCATCTGTAGTGTCTGGCTGAGATGATGAATGATGCTGATCTGGGAAGAGATGAATACTGTGGAGAGGCTTCCACTGGGGATTGTTGAAGTTTTGGGTGAGGACAAGATGGGTTTTTCTCTAAGAATGCAGAGGTGGTTTCCGTAACAAAGGCCCAGAAGGATTTTGACGTGCTGGTTTTGAGGCAGAGAAAGTGTTCTTGTGAAAATAGGAAGGAAACTGGAGAGAGAGAGGGAGAGATGAAAGTAATGGCAGCTGATTGTACCTGGTTCCTACACAGCACAGGCCTGTTGCCACTTGTCTCCCTGCTAAACCCCTTAGGATTTGGTGGAGAGCATGAGGCACGACAGGACATGCACAGGTATTGTGGAGAAGAGGTGCTCAGGTTGTGGAATGTTGAGTTCTCTTTAAGGTGAAGAAATTTTCCCAGAATGGCTGGAGATGTAGGAGTTGTAATCCAGCACATGGCTATGGAAGAAAATGTTAAAAGGGGACTGGGATCAGAAAAGGCTCCAAGTAGGTTTTGGAGGCTTACTTTTGGGTTTTGCGACTATGTTGATGATCTTGTCTCTCTCTGCTACTTCATGTGAGATATTTATGATCAAAGACCAACACAATCCAATAATTTCCATTCCAACAAAGGCAGTATATGATTGTGATGGTAAACATGTTTTAATACATCTGGGTATTGTTTAGATGGATTTGTATCATTTTGTTGTTTTTTTTCCCTGAGTCAGATGGAGATAAGGAAAGGAATTGTTTAACAGACAGTTTGAGGGCATCAGAAATTATACATGTATCTTTCCATATCCAGTTATCTTTAACAGTAGGCTAGATCATTTCATGATAAAATATTTATGCTAGTATTTCTCATGCATGTAGCAACAGCAGTTTCAAGCACTCTTAGGGTTTGTGTAGGAAGCCAGCAGAGTAGACAACCTCCTTTTTTCCCCATTGGCTTGATGTTTACTGTTGCCTCCAATATAGATGGAGAACTCCAACCTAGAGGTCACCAATGCACATTGACTGCAAGAAAATGAAAATGTCTCCCTAGTTATATATCTCTTACATCTTGAATGTAATTCAGATGAACATT